CTGGGTGTATGAAGATTATTGCTGGAGACCAGTGAAAATTATAATTTGGGTTTAGTCTTGTTTATTAGCCAGGGTATCACATCACGCTCTATAAAAACCTGAAATACAATTAAATTTAGAGTAAACTGCAATTTTATTTGAGAAAATACATGGCAGAGAGTGGAAGCTTTTAAGGAGAGAAAATATTAGATCCCTTATTAAATAATTTGACTAGATAGTACACAATAATGACCTTCAACAGAATTTGAATTATGCAAATAATGTACAAGATTAATTTGGTCATCAATTCTTCCCACAAAGTAAATTATCTTAATGTGCATGAAGCAACATTCAAAACTAGCTTGACTTTCTCTTTTTTCCTGGAAGCTTTAAGGAGGTTTCCAGATTTTGTACATTCAATCAATGTCCTACAGAGGTTATTCTTATGAGAGTGTATGATCTCAAAAATGAATCTCAAGGAAGAATTCTTTTATCTCAGAAAAATAAATATATATAGTCATAATCAAGTGATATACTTATTAAAAGGTATTGGCTGGAATTATGCCTATATGTACATATCATTTAAATGTTCTACTTGGTCATACAAATGTGGCCCTATTATAATTGTAGGCCTTGTATTCCCTCCAAAAATAGGCAAAACTCCCAAGTAATTTGACATTTTAATCCAAAGTTTAGAGAAAAAAATAGTACTGAATAACATGAGGATACATAGCTTTTTTCTTTTTGCCCTCTTTTGCTACAACGAGTCTGATCATCATGTGGCATTATGTATCTTGCTCTGTAAACCTATATCTTGCTCTTGCTTTGTAATCGTATCTTTTTCTCTTCAATAAACCTCATTTTTGTGCTTGCCTTTAAAGAAAAAAACCAGGATAAATAGTTGGGAAGAACTGCAATTTTCACCCTTACTTATAGCTCATACTGCCAAATCGTTTCCAATAAATGACTCGCATAAACCCCCATTCAGTATGGAAGGGTTGCATTCTGTACTACACCCACTTTGTTAAGGCAACTATATTTTTAAACGGCTTCAGTAAATGGACACTAAAGTTGAAATTGAAATTATTTAACTTTTTTTCATGTGTCAAAAAGTTTTAAGGACATAACTCACAGCATCTCTCCTGTGAACCAAACGTCAACGTATCTTTATAGAACTTAACTTTTCATGAAATGGCTTTCACCTTTTTCACAATAGGTCAAATCGGAATCTTTTTTCATCTGCTATAACATGAACTGTAAATATTGTTTGTGTGTCCAGTGCCTGGCACACCTTACAAAAGAAAGGAGAAATGAAGGGAGGTTAGTATGGAAGAAGGAGGGTGGGGGAGGTTCCTTTAGAAATCTGTTGGCATCACACTAAGATTAACTTGAGACTTTTCTGCTGAGCCTTGATTTACAATTTCTTTAGAAAATGGCATGCATGTACCTATAGGGTATTATGTTGTAGATTGGGAAAATATAATTCCAACAGGGAAACCTAAGTTGAAATATTAAGTGTATCTCTTCTGTCACGACTGCTGATGCTATCTGGGACTGCCTTACAGGCTTCATGGCATCACTTTTATTAGGTCCACCTCTAATAGTCATGCCAAAAATCTAGACCTTGCTAAGTCCTGCTGCTGAAAATATGATAGAAGGAGGAACACGGCTTACCATTCTGCTATAGTGACTAACACAGCATTGGTACAGTTTATCTTTAACTTATAAAGCTTTAAAGGGTTTGGGTTAGATGTAACTGAGCCTGTTTTTTGTGCTATGTATTAGGTCATTAAATATGAAATGTCCTATTCTGAATCAAGATGTAGTTTAATATATCTCAAACAAGAAACAGTACAATTAATCAAGGTATGCTCCTACAGTTTTGCCATCTTAATGGTAGCTTATTTACAACAGCAGTGAAGAAGCCTGGAGAGCTAGTGAAAATGAAATCATGAAAAATGTTTTCCACAGCCTGTTGAGAATTGAATATTTTTCCTTGCAAGAAGTGGTCCAAAGCCTGGAAGAAGTGGTAGTCAGTGGTGCAAGGTCTGGTGAATACGGTGGATGACAGAGAGTTTCCAAGTCCAGCTGCTGTAGTGTGAGCAGCAGTGTTTGTGTGACATGTCGTTGAGTGTTGTCTTGCAAGATGATTGGCCTGTCTCTATTGACCAATCTCGGCTGCTTAATCACAAGCATCCTCATCATTTCATCCAATTGGTTGCAGTAGACATCCGCTGTCATCGATTAACCCAGTTTCATGAAGCTGTAGCGCATAATGCCAGTGCTGGACCACCAAACAGACACCATTAGCTTTTTAGGATGAATATTCAGTTTTGGACTGTATTTCAGCACATCCTTATCCAACCATTGTCCCGAATGCTTGTGATTGTCAAAAAGAATCCATTTTCCATCACATGAAACAATATGGTTTAGAAATGGTTTGGCTTTAAGTCGTGACAGCAAAGAAAGGCAAGCTTCCAGATGATTTATCTGCTGACACTTGTTTAATTTATGCGGTACCATCTATCCAGCTTCTGTACCTTGCCCATTTGTTTCAAATGGGCCAATATTGTTGGAATAGTAACTTCAACCTTCCTGCTACTTCACACTAGGTTGAGATGGATTCGCTTCTACGACAGCTTTCAGCTCATCGGTATCCACTTTGGTCTCGGGTCACCCATCTGGCTCATTTTCAAGCTTAAAATCACCAGAACAGAACTCTCAAACCATCTACATACTGCACGTTCAATAGCCACATCCTTCCCAAAAACTTTGTTGATATTCTGAGCTGTCTGCACTGCATTGGTTCCACAATGGAGTTCATATTTGAAAATAACACAGATTTTTGCCTTATCCATAGTTTCACAAAAATTGCTCTAAAATTTTTTTTGAAAGATAACCACAAGCCAAAATGTGCATGTGAAAAACTGAGGATGTACCTTCACAATAAAAATGAAATGTTAGCGATATCAACTGTCAAACTTAGTACTTAAGGAAATCATACATTTCATAGCTGATATCAGGAGTGGTTATAATAAGGATCATAATAACTACTACTTAGTGATTGACCCTAAGTACCAGATACTTTGCTAAGCTTTTTGTATGCAGTGTTATTGTTCTGAATCTATTACAACAGCCCTACACAGTAGTATTGTTATGTCTATTTTGCAGATAAGAAAGTAGAGGTTAAATAATTTTATAAGGAATGGATCCAGGATATCTAGAATTTCAACTCCAGACCATCAGTTTCCAAATTTCCTTCTTTTTCCACAACCCCTACACTTATATTCAGAACCACTGTCTTCACTGAAAAGTTATGATTGGCCATCACCATAAACGGTATTCGGTGTATAGTACGAGTTCCCAAATTTATTTAGAGAGAACTACCATCAAAGTTTTCCTGTGGAAGTCCAAGTCCTAGAACTCATTTCCATTTTCTTTACTAAAGTCATTTTGATGATTTATATAATTTATGTAAGACTATTCAAGATACTCCAATTGGAAGACTTCAATAATAAACCACTGGACCTCAGAATCTTGGGCTGATTGATCAATCTTGGATTGATTGATTCAGGAGGATGATGGCAACTATTTTTGTTAAGGCCTGCATGTCAAGCACTGTGCTTGACATTGAGAAATATAGTGATAATGACCTGCAGACAGCCTTGATTTTGACAAGCCCACAGCGATACCTTTACTTTAAAGCCCAATGAGACAAAATACAATAATATTATTGGGACAGGGAAAATGTATAAAAGGGCATAAATGACACCAATCATTCAGAGGCTCCAAATTGCCAAGTCTGAAAATTGTTGAATTGCTAACTGTTTATTAAGCACTAGATTATTTTAGAGCAGGCAAAAATACTGATTTCTCCTGGGACAAATAGTTAGGCTCCCTTTTTCAAAAATAAATGTTGAAATATCATTCTGTTGTGAATTCCCAGAAAGAAATTGAAGCTCACTGATGCACTTTAAATTGCATCAAAGGATTAAAAAGGAAAAGAAATGTACGAGAAGCTTTGGACATGGTTGGGTACTTTTAGATATGGTTAATACATTTTAATTCTGCTTTCAAATACTCTTGATAGTGAGTAACAAGAAGGAATTAAGATGTGGTATAGGGAAGCATGCTTTGCTAGGAGAAGCAGTTTAATCTATGACCTATGACATTGACTTTCTTATCTAATATTTCTTTTTGAAAGCTTTCTCTGTGGTTCTGCCACATAACTGTAAATATAACATTCTGTTTATTCTTCCTGCTCCATGCTTGCATTAGTATGTCTCCTTCAAGTTAGGGAAATAGGCTACCTCAGAGTAAAATTATTACTGACAACTCCAAAGTGAAGACAGTTCTAATGGGAAATACCTTGGCACTATCAGAGGAGCTGCCAATATGGCTATTTCTGGTTATCAGTTAGGAACCAGCAGATGTTAAATTGACATATGTTAGGAAATAGCTTTCAGAGGCTTGTGTTTCAAAACGTATAAAAGAAAAGCAGATGACACCACTTTTTTTTTTGGCTTAAACTGTATAACTAGAAAATCACACCAGATGTGTTAAGATGTTTCTCTTTGAAAATATATTCTGTTTCCTGAGAAAGACTGCTCAAAAGCAGAAGTGAGAGATGGCGCCCTCAAAGTGTACTTTGGTCTTCTTTTCATAAATTTAAATTTTTTATTGTGATTAAAATCTTTGGAGAAAATCAGTGGGGCAAATAACAGTGAATTCAATATTTTTATAATTGTTATGGATTTTATAAACTGATGAATTGCTTGGTTCTCCATTAGAATTGGTCAGGGGGAGAGCTAAATAGAATCCTGAAGGAAAACAGATCATGGAAAACCCTAGAAAACCTAGAGCAATTGAATAAGGTAACTTGAGAATTGAAATGTTAGTCTTACTTGCCTGACAATTTTATCATAAACGATTCATCCTCACACAGTGTCTTAAACCATTTTGTATTGCTATAAAAGAATACCTGAGACTGGGTAATTTACAAAGAAAAGAGGTTTATTTAGCTCACAATTCTGCAGGCTGTACTGGAAGCATGGCACCAGCATCTGCTTCTGGTAAGGGGCTCAGGCTACTCCTGGAAGAAGGTGAAGGGGAGCCAGCCTGTGCAGAGAGCACATGGCAAGAGAGGAAACAAGAGAAAGAGAAAAGGTAAATGCCAGGCACTTTCAAACAACCAGCTCTGGAGGGAAGTAATCCATTGAGAACTCACCCCCAAGGGAGGGCACTAATCTATCCATGAGGGATCTGCCCCCATGACCCAAACATCTCTTGACCCCACTCTGCCCCACCTCCCAACATCACCACATTGGGATTAAATTTCCACATGAGATTTGGTGGGGACAAACGTCCAAACCATAGCACATAGGAAGGTATTAACACAAGAAAATATATTTTTTGCCTGCCCAGTATTCATTCCCCTCCTTCAGGAGATAGCACCTTTAACATGTACACTTGAGGAAACTCCCCTTTTCCACACTCCACGCACCTGTTCTCTATGAGTATAGACTGGGCTCTAGGGGAGAGCATGTGATCTGAGATTGGCTGGTCAGTGGATTCTAATCCCATGGGCTATAATGTGTTGACTCAGTGTGGAGCAAATGACCCAAGGTAAGCCAATGAGACACATTGTTGGAACTTTCAATAGAATCATTGAAAACAATGAGGTTTATCTTCCTGTTAGAATTGAATTAAATCCTTTTGGATATAATCATTGAGCTCCCAGAAGACATATTGTCACCATGAAGGGGGTGAATTAAGTCAAGAATTAAGTCAACACAGAGGAAAGCAAGGGATGAGGGAGCAGGGAGAGAGAGAAAGGGAGAGAGAAAAGGAAGGAAAGGGAAGAGAAAGGACTGAGTCTTGATATTTTTTAGCCTATATATCCAACCTATTCATGAACTTCTACATTAGTTAAACAACAATTCTCCTCTTTGTTTAAGCCCAGCTGGAGCTGAGTTTCATTCAGTTGCAATCAAGTGAGTATGATGAGAAATCACTATGGGCTGAGGGAATTAAGGAAGGTCCCATGGAAGACGTAGCCCTGGGCAAGATTCTGAAAGATGCTAGATTGGAGTATGCAGAGATGGACACAGGGGCTTTGATGATGGTGTAGCTCATAATCCAAAGCCTTGGGGTCTATCTGAAAAGAAAAATGGCTACAGGGTCTCTGAGGCCCAGATGCATGAAGAACTCCAAGCTGAGTCTCTGGTCTTAGCCACAGTGTGCAGACTCCAGTCAGCCTGGTTGACTACACAGTATTCCATGACATGGGAAGTACTCTTAGGATAATGGATGTGCTTTCATGTGTAGAGACATATGACCCAGAGCCTGCATGAACAGAGATTCTGAGTGTATAGTGGTTAAGAGACATAAGCCTTCAAAGGTGGGGAGCCCACGTTCACACTCACAGTTTTAAAATCCTGGCTCACACAGCATGGGAACCTCAAGTCTTCCCTGTTAATATCTTGGGTGCTCAAGGAGACCTGTGGAAGACTAGATCAGCTGAGAAAGGTCACCACTGAGGTGGCTTTCTAACATTTTTGAGCACTGTAAGAAAGACATGTTATATCAGAACACATCGCATATTTTAAAAATCAAAACAGAAGTTCATACAACAGTACTTACCCTTATTGCCCTTGACCACTTGTTATGTCCTCTGATATCTTCTATTCTATCTCATTCCATTTCTTTCTTTCTTTCTTTGAACACTGATTGAACGAGCATTCAAAAATTGATTCATGGTCCACTTTCAAACCAGCAGTTTGAAAAAGCTGACTTAACTGTCCTGCTGGGAAGCACCAGCAGATGTCACTATAGGTGACCACACCAGTAGAACAGCTGCAGCCAGTGACCATGGCAACGGTGGCTCCCTGCCAAGAGCCACAGCACCGCTTTATTGTGTTTATTTTTATTTATTTTTTTGTATAAGCCAAGTAGTCATAAGGTTCTACATTTCAAAAAATACAGAAGGGCACACAGTGAAAACTCTTCCCATTTCTCCTCAGCGTCCCAGTTCCCTTCCTCACTGGCAAATCAATGTTGCTAGTTTCTTCTGTTATCTTCCAAAGATACAGTGTACACATATACACACACACACACACACTCTTCCTTCTCTCTTCTTTTACAAGAGGATAGCATAATTATAACACTGTTCTGTATCTTTCTTGTCTTTCGTTAGCATGTTTTAGGAATTATTCCACCCACACAAAGAAGAAAGTATCTCCATTCTGTTTAAAGCTGCATAATAGTCCACCATAGTGTTATTACTTATTCAGCGAGACACCTGCTGACTTCACATTTGGACTGTTCCCAATATTTTGCTGTTATAAACAATGCTGCACCAAATTACTTTGCTGACTAACCGTTTCACACATTTGAGCATACTGATCCTAGCATCCTTAGAAATGGAATTCCTGAAACAAAAGGTATATGCATTTGTAATTGTCACAGTTCTTACCAACTTTCTTTCTAGAAACTATTATTCTGCTTTGTACTAGTTTTACACTTCCATATTCTTGAAGATAGTTTTATTAAGTTTCCCAATCTTTGCCATTTAGTAGGCAAAAATCATATCTCAGTATGGTTTTCATGAAATTTAACTTAATTAATTTTATCAGGAATAAGATTATTTGTTCCATATACCTAAAAGCCAATGATATATTTTCTGTCTACCCTCTTTTCACATCTTTTACATCCTCTTTAAAGAGCAACGATTAGCTGTTGAAGTAAGCAAGCACTAGCATTTGACTTAGCTTGTCTAAATATCAAGTAATAGTGTGTGTGTCAAGCAAAAACTATATCCTTACAGAGCATTGTATAAAGTACTATAGCTTAGACAAAGAATGCATTCTAGGAATCATTAATCTGTGTGGAGCCAACCTAATGATTCCAGACACTTTTACACCTGACACACTCTAGAAGTCTGGATAACCACCAGGATAATGTTGATTACTAGGACAGATGGCATAGTCTGGCACCTAAATCCCCATTAGAAACAGATACTACACTAGGTGCTGGGGATACAAAGATGAACAATACAAGAGTTTTGAGTAGAAAAAAAAAACCAATATAAAGCAACAGAATTAAAGATATTTGTACTGAAGGCTGTTCATGGTCAACAGGGAATAAAGTTGGGAGTGGTCAGTTCTGCTGGAGTGGAAAGGTTCACTAAAGGAGTCCTGGTAGATAAGCCCATAGGTCCTTCCTCAAGAGGGCTCTTTGGTTACATACTCCTTTTCACTCCACCATCCCTGCCTGCTTGAATTCCCAAAATATAGCTAATTTTCCTAACAACTGAATCCTTTAACTCTGTTCATTCCTTCAAATTACTTGCCACTTTTGCTTTACATTGACCATTTATCTTCCTTCTAAGCTATACCCATCTGATGGGCAAGGATTAGGTCTTACTCAGACAAATGTCTGTGCAATGTAGGCACTCAATAAATATTCCTGAATGGATAAAATGATGGGTGAAAAAAGTCCTTGTCTGGTGGAAGTTACTCTACTTACTGCATCACTGGTCAGTCAAAGCCGTTCTTTGCAGTTACAACACTAGGCTAATGTCAAAGCTTGGCCTAACCTCTGCTCAGAAGCCACTGAGGGACCTGTGTCTCTAAGGGTGGAACAATTGTTATTGATTGTTGTGGAACAATCCCTGACTATGGAACATTATCAGGACCATAGATTATCTGGGTCAAGTGGGTGGCTTGGCTTTTATGGTATCTCAAAGGGTTAATTCATAACTTTGGAAAATAGGCAGGAAAATAATAAAAAACATTTAATAACTGCCAACTTAGTTATATGGAGATGTGTGTGTGTGTGTGTGTGTGTGTGTGTGTGTGTGTGTGTATTTGTATCTCCCAAATATTCCCTGGGATGTTTATAAACATTCTTAAGTTGTTTATGAAGACAGCTAACATGTCTGTTATTGGTACCGTCTTCTTAACTATTAATCCCACCTTACCTGGGAAATAAAACTCTCTAGCCATGAGTGATTAGGTTCAAGTCCTCAGTTATGCTTCATTGTATGTCCTTGTCATTTACCTCATCCCCTTCCTAAATCCTACACTTGTCCTTGCCAATTGGGTCAATGCTTTTGAGCCTTTCTCTCCACATTTGCTCAGTACCTGTTAATCAAATTGATACTGACTGATTAACACTATGGTGCTCAAATGGTGGTGGTATTCACCAGGGCTTTGGGGGTTGGGGGATAGATCCACATCTTAGGGATGTGGTGAGCATTGTGGAAGGGAAGGGCATACCACTAACCCTTGTTAGGGAGAGGCAAAGATATAAAATGTAACTAAAATGTTCATACGTTCATATTTTCTTGAAATAAAATAAAATAATTAGGAGATTTGCTAGCTTTGGTTGCAGGACTGCTCTTTGTCACTGCCATATGACACAGTCTTCTAGTGTCTGCAGTTTCTCTGGACATCTACATGTGATAGCACTATGTGCTAGACTTACCTTCTCATACTGTCCTTTCCTGCTCAATATTTCTGATATTCAAGACAATAGGCACTCATCCTGAGATATTTCTCTTTTTGTAATAATTGAGGTGGTTTTATGACTTAGAATTTTTTAAAACAATATTTGACTAAGAAGAAATAAGGTCAAAATATGGATAAATATGTTTATTTTTATTAAGTCTTTAACTTTGGCATGTATGTACTCAAGATTCTCAAGACATGCACACACACAATTTTTAATAAACAGCTAATATATCTTCTACAGGTACCTGATCTTTCAAGGGACCATAACCTTGGGCCACCAGAAAGAAGGTTCATGACTTATTCTTCAAGCTTAAGATTAAGGACACTTTCAGACTTTTCCCAGGTCTCTCTTATCACAGTGCCCATCTTGACTCCAATGGCTTTGCTGGCCATGGGCATCCTTGACTCAATCTGGTCCCGTGATTGGTATGGCCACATAGTGTTTTATGATTGGTTCTCTCTTGGCCATGTGGTTTAGGTCTCAACATACTGCAAAAAGCTGTGTCTACTATCCCATATTTTGAGAATAGCTTTCAGAAAAGAGCTACATTCTCTGAGTTCTCTTCCTCTTTCATTAAAAATTGTACCTTAAGTTCCTGGTTTACAATCATTGCTTTGTAACAAAAAGCTGCAAGCAAAAATTAAACAAAATCTTTGTTTTCACCTCCCTATTTCTGAATCAATGGGAGCTAAGAGCTCAAAATGTGCTTCCCCTCCCTTTTTCTCCTTCATTCGTAGCTGTTGTTAACAGCAATATGAGATGTTGTTAATAGCAATGAGATAAATATCTTCTGTGAAATGTTTTAAAAAGCTTTATTTGCTTTCTTGTTTGGTTGTTTATTATTTTTGGCTTAAGTAAGATTTTGCATCATGTGTAACAGTAGAGTTACTTTTCAGGATTTCACCTGTTACTGGTTTGAGACTATGCTGGAATTCATAAATATTGTAGCAAAGCTCAGACCTGCCAGGCCAGCCATCATATATAACCCTTATGTTGTACTCAGTAGGTCAACCCACAGACCTCAAATGACAGCTACATGGCCCCTTCTAAATACCCTGTGTGCCAAGGAAAAGTCTTGGTATGTTAGATATACAGCCATTGCTTCTCTTTTGTACTCAGGATGTCTTCACATTAGTAAAGTAAACCAACAGCAAATCGTTCAACCTTCTCTGACTACACTTTGAAGTTTAGAAGGGAAACTTGTTTAAAAAAACCATTCCATTGGAGTTCAAAATTGCCTGAAACTATAAAATTTGGGGAAAGTTTTGGCTCTTATTTAAAATGCTTGCAGAAGAGACACAATTTTAAGTTATGAAAATACCTCATTTATCTTTGTGACATTTATAGAGTATTTTTATTAGATATAATTTTATTTTTGTTAATATAAGTCCTCAACTCCATCAAATGCTAATGCAGTAAAATTTGTAAGACCATATATATTATCAGAGACATACAAACCATTTTTCACGGTAATATTTTCAAAAAGCTAAACTGAAGTCACAATGGGAAATTTTCATTCTGCTTGGCAACACTGTGAACTGATAATGTTGTTCTTATATCTCCAGTCCATCCTCATTTGCAATATCCAATTAAAATAAAATGAGTCGTGACATTACATCTTCAAGGCGATAATAAGCTAGGGATGTTCACAAGTTCCATGATCGGATGCCCAGTTGTATAAGAGTACGTGCTTTGTTGAAACATTTTCCATCATGAACAGAAGGAATCAGAGATGAGTAACCGCTCTAATTGGGTTCCCCTTTTCCAAGGGTAATTGCTACTAGAAAAAGTATTTTCAAAGGATCTACACTTAAAACTATGGCAAAGGCAATGCTTTGTGTTCACCTAGTCCTGTTTCATTTTCTTTTTTCCTGAACACAAAAGAAAATAGCATTTCACAATTTTCATTGCAGTTAGGTTGGAGCTCATGAGAGTAATTCTGGCCAGTGGTGTATAAGTGGAATGAAGGGTGCCTCTGCCACCACAATGGAATCCATGTGCTGAGCTAGCAATGCCTCAGTTGAAAGCTGCCTGGATCCCTGAGTCACCACACAGCAGACAGATCCTTCTTGCATCGGAATTTTTATGAACAGGAAATGAATCTCTGCTGTGTTAAATCATAGAGACTTTGGGATTAGTTTGTTAGTGCAGGATAGCCTAGCTTGTCCTATCACAATCCAGAAACACATTTTCAATATACATAATGGAAAAAGTTTTTTTTTTATTAGAACTTGATCTGAAAGAGAAAGCCAAAATTGTGAAAATAAGTTTATATTTTCTCTTTTATTTAATAAAATATAGGTTATGATACTACAATAATTGTATTTATGGTTTCAATGACATAGAAAGAAATTGTATTTATGCTTAAAATAGAGAATGAATCAAATGTTGGGCTTCTGGCATGTTTTTAAGGACTCTCATGTGCCTACTAGACTTGGCAAGGCTACTATAAAGATGGAGCATGTCTCTCTCTCTGAATCTTTGGAATTATTAAATTGAAATATAGTACACATCCATTTAGGATTTCTCTTAGGTAAAAGTATAAAACTTAGCCATAGATTTTCAGAGAAAGTCTTACATTTAAAAAGGTTAAAATGGTTCAAGTTCTTAGAAAATCTTTTTGGAAGTTTTAGAAAAGTTTATATATAATAAAATAATGTTTTATAATGCTTCTTGAAAAGAATAGGTACAATACTATTATTTTTACTGAACTTCAGGGAGTTTGGCAAAAAAATCCTAACTGGATTTTTATTAAAAAATTTTTTAAAAATTGGAATTTATTTCAGGCTTTTCAGGTAAAATCAGTGAAAAACAATCTCTTATTTAGCTATAAATAAGTCCAAAAAGGAGAATATGACAGATTGGATGTCATTCTAAGATAGCTATGGACTCAATTTTTCCCACAAAGGGGCTTTGATACAGAAAGTGGTACAGACTGCAACAAACGGGATAGAAACATTTTGAAAGTTTCAAGACACAAAAGTTACTTGCATGTGACCAATACATTTTAAAAAGTATTTCAATAGGCAATACTAAATCTCCATAATAATAGAATTTATCACATATAAATCAAGAAGAAAACATCCTTGGTCTACCTGATGGTATCTTTTGGAAACTAAAACCTTGACAAATATTCCTTAGGAACCAGAATAATTTTATCATTTTCATTACTTCACTTCCCAAAGTGGAAAATTGTCTTTTAAAAATTCTTACTTTCTTAAATAAATTCCATGATGAACATAAAGATTTGATCCCTTCTTAGATACAGTTAAATCTTATATTTCTGGGGTGCTTTACCTACTTAAAAAAAAAAGAAAGAAAGAAAGAAAAAGAAAGTATTCCAGAAGCTTTTTAGCACCAAGCATATGCTTTATAGGATTTCAGAATATGTTGATTGCTTGACTGAGAGCCAGAGATGGTTAACTACGAAAATACAAATAAAATGTTTCCCAATTTAAATGGATTGAAAAACTTCCTCTGCTTTCCAATAGAGTATAATTATAGAGTATAATTAACAAATGCAATAATGATTTTTACCGACAGCCAGTTGTCCAGACAGCCTTGGAGATTGACAATTTGTGAACCTGTCTCAAGGTGCTGTAAAACCGTTTGCAGCAGACCTTCAAAGTCCTACACTCTGCCACATGGGGGGAAGTCCTTCATTTATTTCCATTTTTACTGCTTTTTAAGTCTATCAGCCATAATAAGGACATGTCAAAACCCAGTTGCTTTCCAATGTAACACCCAATGACACATTAAGTAGTATGAAAAGCATTAACTTTCTTTTTTGGATGCAATTTAAAAAAATAAATATTCTTATTTTCTTAGACTTCTTATTCAGCTGAGAGAAGAGAATGATCTCCCAAGGTTAAAATTCACGTCCAAAAGCCAAAATGAAAAGAAGCTACTCTCAGCATATGTTGTAGCTAAAGAACATTCCTGCCCCTGTGAGGACTACGTTTAGACTATCTAGGTCCCAGGATTTTTGTGTTCAGCAGAATACTTTTTCTGTTGTTAAACCTTTATATTCTTCTAGGTTGATTGTTTCCATGCCTGCGAGGTTCCTAGACCTCTGCCTACAATGGACTAGGCAGGAACCCGAGGAACTGGTTCCTCATACAGAACCAGAACTGTGGTCACAGTCCTGTCACTTCATTTCTCTGGACCCCATTGTCTCATCTGTGCTAACATCACAGAACTCATAAGAGAATCGTATAAAATAATATTGTTTTTAAAACCATAGAATGCTATCATACAGTTGTAGAGATATTCTAAACTTAGACTTACCTCTTGTTTGGGGTGGTACCATACTTAAATTGATTTTTATTGCAATGAGATGGAAATAGCAGATTACCAACAGACAGAGCGCTTCACATTCCTTTCCTTCCCTATGTGGTGCAATGATAAATAATAGCTAGATTGCTTCAGGTTCTTTGCCTAAAGGTGGGAATCTTCATCCAACCATCTTGAGCCCCAAGGACTGAGGTCTCTTAGCTGGCAATTGGGGACCAGATGACAGAAGTTTTTCCAAAGTTTTAAATCCATGTCTCTGTGGGGAGCCCCCATGTAAGGAAGGATTGATCCTTTTTATTCTTTCCCCAAGCCAAAACTTTGACATCAATGAGAAATGCAATTTCAGGAGATTTACAGACATTACTCACATACCCTCACTATAGACATGTAGCCTCCTCTCTCTCAGAAAAGGGCACAGTGACCCCAGCCCACTTTCCTGAAGAAGTGTGGTCATGACCCATGTTCCAATGGGAAAAAAATCATTATGTGGAAATGTCAGAGGTCTCAAATCCATTTGGAAATTTTCAGGAAGGTCTTCTCATAACAAGAAGTAGTGTGGTATGATTGAAAAAGAACTGCCCCAAAGTGGGGGAGCTGGATTCTAGCCTGATTATTATACTTGGTGCTGTGTAACCTTGACAAGTCACAATACTTGCAGTGTCTGTTTCCTTAGCAACAGCGCAAGCCTATTTGATCTCTGAGATCCCACATAAGGCCAACACACTATGCTTTTTCTAATTCTTGCTGTCTTTAATATGTGAATCCGTGGCCGGATGTGGTGGCGCATGCCTATAATCCTAGCACTCTGGGAGGCTGAGGTGGGCGGATCGTTTGAGCTCAGGCGTTCAGGACCAGCCTGAGCAAGAGGGAGACCCCTGTCTCAACTAAAAAAAATAGAAAGAAACTATATAATTTCTTTCTTTTTTTTTAGTAGGGAGGGGGAACAAAATTGAGTTTGAGTCTCTCCATCTTTTTCAGTGACTTTTAAAAAACTAAACTTTTTAGTCAAAGAGGCAAAATCTTTAGTGTTGCTAATAAAGTCCTGATAATGACTTTCTTTTTTTCATGCAAATGTGGAAGGATGCTATCTGCATATAGGCTAATTTTGCCCACCACTGAACCAGAACACATCTGATGAACTATGCCTGCACACATATCTCAGGGAGACTGCAAGAGGCATTGATGAGAGCTAAGATGGGAGGAGATGAGGTCTCTATATTGAATAAATGACCTAGGTTTGCATCTAAAAGCCACTATGTCTATTCAATGCCATGTTTTCGAAAGAGGCAAATATTCTTTGGCTAGTTTAAAAGCTATGAAGCAATTTTGGGGATTCTATTTAATACAACAAAAGGCAAGAACCAAGAATTCTAAATTTGGTTCAGGATTGAAATACTCAAGTATCAGCATGTTAATACAGGCCAAATGCGTAACTTCCCAGCTATCACTGACTATGTCTCATTACTTAAAAGAAGTTTACTCATAACTGAAAAAAAATAATTTGATGCAACATCAATCAAAGGTTTGTCAACCCATTATTTTAAAGTAGTGAGATAAGGGGTTTAAGTGCAGGGGAAGTCATCACACAGAAAGGTGAAATTTAATAAGAAAAAATCTTGATATTCTTTATACAAGGTAACCTTAGTAAATTCAGATCAACAAAAAATAGAAATAATAACAATAACCTGCAATCTGTTAATAACAATAATAATAACAACAACCCAGCAATCTGTTAATATTTCCATATGTTTTCTCATCTTCTTTTTTTCATGTGTATGTGGGACCACAATGCACAAACTAGTTTTTAACCTGCTTTTCCTATCAACATTATATTTTTGAGCATCTTCACATATCCTTGAATTTTCATGTCCAATCAACAACCAGCTTCAAATGCCACTTTGAGGAAACCCAGTGCTTCCACTGAGGTGCCTGGGGAGTTTCAGGATTTGGAGTTTGGCTGAGTAGACAGAGTTCCATCCCTCCACCTCCACTCTGAAGTCTACCCTCATCAATAGAAAGGCTTTTTAAGTTTGCTTACATATGCTTTATGTATATTTTTTACTTATTTGTCTGAAGGATCTAATGCTAAAGTGAAAAATTGCCAATCACTGCTCTATATCACCTTTAACATCTGTAATTTTGGGCGCATATATATGCATTATATTCTTATTTACAGATCCCGTTCAGCATAGGAGATAAGATTCAGACTTCCTGGGTTCGAATCCCAACTCTGTCACTGACCAGCTGTGTGATTTATGATGGTTTTACAATATAGCTACAAACTCTTTGACACTCCTCCCACCAAACAGTGGGGTCTAATTCTCTTCCCTGGAATATTGGCTGGGCTTATTGACTCAGTTCTAATGAAGAGACTACATCAGAAGTGACTTGACCTGACTTCCAAGGTTAGGTCATGATGAGCTTCATAACTGAAGCAGGGATCTTGGCAAGGCATTCCAGTTTCTTTGCCCCACTTTCTTCACCTGTAAGATGAGAAAGATATTAATATCAATTTCACAGGATTTTTAAAGATAATTTCAGAGTTAATATACATAAAAACCTTATCATAGGCAGCTTGTAAGCACCATAGAATTATAATTTACTATTATTATTAAGTTGCTTTTCATTTTTTAGAAATTTCTGTATATATATATTTATAGTAAATGTTCACATATAGTCAAATCTCTGCAGGCAATTATGATTATTTTCTTAGAAAGTTGTAGGCATAGAAGTGCTGGATCAAGGTGTATGCATTTATTTAGAAATAGTTATGGTTGAACTCAATTCTCACTTTGGTGTGAGAAAATCCTGTTCTATGCAATATTATTAACAGCACATGGAATCAATGAGTCCTGGTTATGTGGGTGGATATTCCTGTCACCTCTACATCAGCTTTTGTATTTTTATTAACAAATTAAAGATAAAGGAAAAAGCAAAACATACTTGGGTCAGCAAGAAATCTTATAAACCTCTATGTCTTTTGCTATAGGACTAACAAGACACTGTTATCAGTTAGTCTGCATAAAGTATCTAATTATGGGTCTGGGAATGGATTTATGTACAATGTAGAAGGATGTTATAATAATAATAACATATTATTTATACATTAATTAAGAGCCTTTATTAATCAGAATGCCTTCAATTGCAATGACAGATAACTCTACCCAAAATGACTTAAGAAAAAAATTATTGACTTATATATCTATTTGTATTAGCTTCAGGCAAGGCTGGATCCTGTATTCTTCAAATCTCAATCTGCCTCTAACTCTTAATCTCTCAACCATGCTTTCTTCTATGCTAGCTTCCTTTTCAAACAATCTTCATCTCAAGGCCCCCAAAATTTCCAGGTGTATGTCTACCAGTTTTACAACATTATAGGCTGAGTTCTTACTTGTCATTGCACACTCTGACTCTGAGGGTTAAATTGAAAAGGAGTTCACTGAAAGACTACTTTGCAGGCTACAGAATTGTTTTAAAGGCTGGAGAACCTTGTCTACAGCCAGGCTTCCAAAATGAATGGTCTAAAGAAACTATTATCAGTGCTACTGTTGCACCCAACCCCCACCCCTCAACTCCTATTGAGGGCTTTGTTTACACTGAGGTCAAGAGCTCAAATGGTCAAGGCCATTCCAGGGCCAGGAACTCAACCATGAAACCACTGTCACCCACAAAAGCCATACATCTGAGCTGCTATCCTAAGTAGTGGCTCCGAGCTTCCTTCCTTAAGTTGTTGACTTCCCAGTCAAAGTTTCAGATGACTGGGTGACTGGTAAGGCATCTAGCGGACATATCTGTTTCCTGCTGCTAAAGAAACTGGGATAGCAAGTTTTCTGTGTTTTACCTTGGTGAAGCAGGCCTTAGGGGGAAGAAATTCTCTGAAACTTGAGAATTTTGTTTAAAGGTGCTGGGTCAGAAAACATGACGGATGCCAGGAAGAGTAGTTCTAGGGAGAGAGAGAGAGAGAGAGTCTTTAAATATGTTCTGCCAAAAATCTCAGATCTAACTTTCATGGTCCTGGCTGAGGTCATATGTTGTGGTTTAACAATCCCTCTTGGCCTGGCGCGGCGGCTCACTCCTGTAATCCTAGCACTCTAGGAGGCAGAGGCAGGAGGATGGCTCAAGGTCAGAAGTTCGAGACCAGCCTGAGCAAGAATGAGACCCCCGTCTCTACTAAAAATAGAAAGAAATTAATTGACCAACTAAAAATATATATACAAAAAATTAGCTGGGCATGGTGGCACGTGCCTGTAGTCCCAGCTACTCGGGAGGCTGAGGCAGGAGGATCGCTTGAGCCCAGGAGATTGAGGTTGCTGTGAGCTAGGCTGATGCCATGGCACTCACTCTAGCCTGGGCAACAGAGTGAGATTCTGTCTCAAAAAAAAAAAAAAATCCCTCTTGAACTGGGAACCACTGATTTGCCACATGCACACTTCTAGAGCTGAACTTTGGAGCTAGTCCCATTTCAAGCATGTGAGTTGATAATAGGTCTATCAATCAAGAAAGAATGGACCCTGACAGCAAAATCTCCCAGTGTCCACCACAGAACCCCACCCTGGTCTTTACAGAGTTCCACCAGATCCCTGAACCTGTCATCTCTACCTGTTCCTCCCTGGTGTTCATCGAGCTACAAGGCATTACTGCAAACCCCTGGCCATCTTGTGTGCAAATCCACCCCAGCATCCTGCTGAGCCAGGAACAGTAGCATTATGCAAAATCATACCTCATCTGCCATCTGGTTTGGGGAACAAAAACTGTTTTGCTCTTAGCAAAAGAGTAAGAAACAAAAGCAGACAGAGGTGAAAGAAGAGAATTTTGGTGGCTCCACTCAGAGCCATTTCTAATAAGGATGTGGTACCACTTCACACTGCTTTTCATGTATGTATACACATACATATGATGTTCAATTTTATTTCTTGTGCTCTGAAACATAAGATAGTAGACTGTTTTTAAGGTCATATTTTTGTAAACATTTGAAAAATGACACATTGAGCAACCCAGCTAAAAGTATGAGAAAGAAAAAATACAGTCAGCATTATTCACAAATTAGAACACTTCTAAAGTATACTAACAATTTAAAACTGAAGAATAGGTTTCTCATACTTAATTTCAAGAAGTGTTTATGTATATTATTGTGCAATTTTAGTTTATTTTTCTTTTAAAAAATCTGCAATTTTAATTTTTTCTTTGACCTAAGAGTTGTTTAATACAGTGTAATTATTGAAACTTTGGATATTTAAAATATTATTAATTTCTAATTTTATTGCCTTATGTTTAGAAAATGCTATTCATATTATTCCTATTCTTTGGACTTTATTGAGAGTGTGTGTGTGTGTGTGTGTGTGTGTATTTATGTGGCCTAAGATATGGTCAATTTTCATGAATGTTCCCTGTGCAATTGAAAATAAAATATAGTCCCTACTATGCACAGTTCAATTTATCTATAAGTACTGTCTTATTGGTTGTAATTTTATGTTCTTACTATGTGTTTCTCAATTTCATCTGTATTGGATTGAAAGATGTGTATTAAAGGTTTCTATTTTTAGTTTCTACTTATTTCTTCTTGCGTTTC